GCTAGAACAGTGTCCCAGTCGGCTGAGGTGAATGCATTTTTAACGTCTAATGTAATGATGACACAGTATTCTTTGTCTCCTTCGAGCCAACGGTCTCCTTTAATAGCATCTTTTGCTATGGCTACGACTGCTTCCACGGCCTTTATTGTGGAGCGTGCCTTTCGAAAACCAAATTGTCTATCTGATAAACCGTTGCCATTCAAGGCTTCCTCTAGTCTTCGGCTAATTATCTTTTCCAAAAGTTTGCCGGCCGTATCAATCATACATAGCGGGCGATAGCCTGATGCATCTTGTACGTTATTGCCTTTTGGTATAAACACCAACCTCTGCATTTTCCATATCTGGGGGAATGTTCTCTCCTTTATACATGCGTCGAACACTTCCCTGAGTGAATCGGTGTTGATTTCTGTGGCCATCTTTAGCGCCAGGTTTGGTATTCCATCTACTTCAGATGCTTTGTTTAGTTCTATCCCTTTGCATACCACTTCCAATTCTTGCCTGCTAACCTCAGGTATTTCATTCTGTGGCTCACTATCTTGTACTGTATAAGTTATATCAGCTCTCTGCGGGAAGAGACCTTCAAATATAACTTGTAGCTTAGCTGCGTCTGTTGTAACTGGTGGACTATAGCTATATAATTTTTTCATAACCACCTTATATCCTAGTCCCCAGGGATTATTCTCGACTTCCTCGCACATTTCCTTGTAGCATCTTGCCTTGCTATTCGCTATCGCCTTTTTTAGGTCAGTTCTCGATGTTTTATAGGCTTCTTGGTGCGCTGTAAAGTTTTCACGACCCCTTGTTTTTTGACATAGGCGTCGCGCATGTTTGCATTTTCTTCTTAGCTCGGCAATTTGATCAGTCCACCAATACACATGCTGTTTGCCATTCCGCCGACCTCTCTTTGCCATAGGTGCGTTACATGAATTTGTTATGCAGCGCATTAGTTGTATTGCTTTATCATTCGCACTGCCGGTTAGGTGGATCTCGTCCATTGAGAGCTTAAAAGCTTCTTTGTCCAAAGTTGACTCTTTCCAAAGCGGATTTGGGGTGGCTACCGCAGGAATGGTTCTTGCTGTGCGTTCATGTATTTCGAAGATAATAGCATGGTGGTCACTTTGTGTGTAGATATCTAACACTTGCCACTCAGTTGAGTTAGCTAGTGGATCGCTGATAAATGTCAAATCTATCTTAGAGCTTCTACCGTTCTTTAAGAATGTGTTCCTTGCTGTTCTAATATTACGCTTGCACAAATGTGCGATTTTGCGCTTGCACCCAAGGGTGGAAAAAAATTATATGAACTTCAAAATTTTGTTTGAAATAGAAAATATTATTTTGTGGCAAATTTTGAAAAAATTGATATTTATTTATGTTGAAAATTGCATAAATTAACAAATATTTAAAATAATTATTTTCGTTAAGTATTTATAATGTTAACTAAAAATTATAACTGTCTTAACCTTATTTGTATTTTTACTTAAAATATTAGTTTTTTGTATATTACTTCCAACTTTTGTGCATTTTTAAATGCAAATTTAGTAAGTGAACTTAACGTATTTGTTTGGTAAGTTTTGCACCACTTTTGCACCAAAGAAATAAAAACATATTTTTAGAAAATTTTTTTATTCCCAAAAAATATGTATTTACATAGGTAGAGTATCTAACTTTCATTAAAAAACACGAAAGATTAGGAAAATATTTCCTTGAACAGGTAGCAGGATGCTTAGATTTGCTAATGTGAACTTTAAAAACATGAAAAGAAAGTAACATTTTTAACTCTTTTGGTAAGACACAAATTTTTAAATACAAAGCAGAAATATATCAATGAATACTAATAATAGATTAGGTAAAATACTATTAAGTGATACTCTTAAATAAAAAACAAACAAACTACGCCTCAATCGTGTTAATCACTTACACCTTAAAGGACAAAAGCAATACTCTATAGTGTTTATTTTAATTTTTAAGTGATGATTAAGTGATAAATAAAATTTTATGAAGTAGTCCAAAATTCATATATATTTCTGAAACGAATGTGCAGTAGACATTTCGTCTCCGCACATTTGGGTGCATTTTTATTTTCGAGTCTGCACACAAAATATGCTCCTCGTATTCTTTTCTACACACGTTGTGTGCGAGGGCAAGCTGGCTGCCTCACACACAATGTGCTGTGAGAAATAACTTCGGTACAAACACCGAATGCGTGTGCGAGTTTTATTTCACTCCACCATATTCGTGTGAAATGTGCGTTTTGCTTGTGCACACAAGATGTGCACTTAAGACGTGCACAACAATTTTTGCACACCCCATTTGTGGTGTGAAATTTTATTTACAATCGCACAACATTTGTGCGTGGTGCTTTGCATTTTTGTGCACAGCACAGTGTTTGTCTGAACCCTGGTTTTTATACACATGGGCACAGTTTAATATATCGGTCTTGTAGTTAAGCAAATCGAGAACAGGTTAAAAATTTATATATATTGTATTTACTTTTTAATTGTTTTTCTATTGTAGAATTATTCTATGTATTTAACTTGTTGCTTTACTAATTTCATAACAACAAAATTACCAATATTTATTTGTCTAACTATAATCGTTGGTGCATTGCATGAAGTGTGTTTTTAATATAAGTTAAAATTTAACATTACTTATTTTAAATAACAGACAAATATAAATATATATTGTATATATTGTTATAAAATATTGTTATAAAAATAATATTAATTAAGCTTTATAAGCTTTTCATAATTTTTTGTTGTAATATAATATCCATTGAGTATTTTGTAAATTTTGCATTTATGTAAGTTAAAAAATTTTTCGGTTGTTTTAATTTTTTATGATTGCATCTTCATACTTAGTGTTTTTTGAGAATATATTTTCTGCAAATCAAGGGAAGGCCCTTTGACCGTACAACTGACATTAGATTTAAAAATTTAATTGACTGAATATTTATTACGAAAAATATTTACTAATTATACTCACCACAAAAATTACCGACGTGCGTGTGCACCCTCATGCATTAACTATCTATTAAGTACTGACTACAAAATTCTCATGCTCATTTATAAAAGTTATAAAAACGCATTCACCATGATGGAATGGCCGAGATTTTGTGCGCTTAAAGATGGTATTTGCGCAACTTCTAGGAGTATATCTCGTATTTTGTGTTGTTCTCATTTAAGTGTCCAATCCATATAAAATCTTCTTTGCTCATCAAGAGCCACCATCAGCTCTTCACTCGAATAAGAAAGCATAACGCTCAGGGTAACTTTGTTTCTATATAGATTTTTAACTGTCCGTCTTTAATGACCCAACAGTAAGTTTATACCTTATGATCAAAAAAGAACGAGACGCCTATTTTTTAATTCCCGCGTTTATTCAATCGGTAATTTTTTTTTATTTTTTTATGCTAGCAACACTATTATACACATTCTGTCAAAGTTTAACGTATATCGTACTATTAGTTTTATTTTGGCGTCTATACAAAGAAATCGAAAAATTTTCGTGTGGCGATTTTTATAATGGATCAAAAATTAGAATAACGTGCGTGCACCAAATTTTGTATTGCAAATGGATTGTGCCGAAACTGTTCTTCTTCTTATGCAAACGAAGCAACAACAATGCACATTAAAAACGTTTCCATATCGTTTTGTTCGACAAACGCTAAAAAACCACTACCTTAAGAAAATGATCACTAAAAAGACCACTACCTTCGGCAAAAGATAACTAAAATGAGCACTGCCTTCGTGAAAAGATCGTTAAAAACTCTAAAAATGAAGTTTGTGTTCGCGGACACAAACTTTAAAAATTTTTTGATGTGTTTCGGACATGAGCAGTACACTACGATACTGTACTGTTTATTTTCGTTCACTGCTAGCCACCCAACAACTTCTGTAACTGAAGAAAACATTGAATCGGCGAAGCAGATCGTGTTGAAAAATCGTTGTGAACCGATTAGAGATTGCAGTGTTGTTGGACACCTCATATGGATCGGCCGAACACATTTTAACTGATGTTTTGGGTTTAAAACGCGTCGCTTCTCAGCTGGTGGCAAAAAAGCTGAATTTCATTAAAAAAAAGCAGCAGTTTTTGATCAAAAACTCCACCAATATCATCAACCAAGCACCGTACTCTCCACATATGGCCCCGTGTGATTTTTTGCTCTTCCCCCGACTCAAATTGCCATTGCGAGAAACGCGTTTTGAGATCATAGAGGCCAATTTGAGACCAATTTTTCGACTTCTTTGTATAGACGCCAAACAAAAACTATTTGTACGAAATGCGTTAAACTTTGATAGAATGTGTATAATAGTTTTGCCAGCGTGACTTTAAAAAAAATGTACCTATTGGATAAGCGCGGGAATTTAAAAATTAAAAATTAAAGTTCTTTTTTGATCACAAGGTATATCAAGTTTCTATACCGTTATCAGTCGGAAACCTTGTTTTTTGCCACTGTTTTTTCACTTTCCTCTGCTTATTAATTTAACTGATGAGTGGAACCTGGCTTATAGTTTTCTTACATCGGTCCAGTACATCGCCGCGTCGAAGTTTAGATGTTTAAATTGAAATGCTCAGTGAAATTTGCTAAACGAGTATTGCCGTACATGAATTCATTGGCATGTAATTTATAATTTTTTTGAGATTTTAGCATGATGTTAGCCACGATTTAATTTGATAAACGAACTTTTTCTGAGTTTGCCAAAGAGCTTGCTAAATAAGGAATAATAAATTGTATCGATAAATAAAAGTGAAAAATTCCAGTTCAATGAAAAGTATTTTCGAAATTTGTCGGTTTATTCAATTACAAGCGATAAAGCTACTTAAAAAATTTGCGTTAGGATCAGCAACTTTTACAATGAATAAAAAAATTTCGTATTTTTCCTAACTGTGATGGTTTAAGAACTTTAACTTACATTAGTTAGCAAGTAAATAACAAATATTTTTTATCTGTACATTATTTAAACTATATCTAATAAAAACATTTTTCTTGTTTTGTAAAGAATAAAGATGTTTCATCGATGCTATCCTGTGACATTGTGGAAGGCTGCAAACCTAAACCTAAGGTAAGTTATATAAAATGTAATTTTTTTCAACCTAACCAGCTCACATTTCACATATTAATGAGAATTGTTTAAATTATTGTCATATAGATCAAATATTTCAACTGTTAAATAGATAGATATTTTTTTTTTTTGTTTTTATTTATATTTAAACAAAATGAAGAGTTTAAACGAAGGTTTTTTTTATTACAAGTAAGTTTATCTAAGTCTATCTAGGGTGAGCATATAGATACGAACTAGTCATCTCCTTACTGGTTGAAACGCCTCAAAAGGTCATTAGGTTTGAAGCGGCATAAGCGTCTGTGAGTTTTTTTTTTTTTTTTTTTTTTTTCAATTCATACGTTATTTATTGAATCTTTCAATTTGGAAACTAACAATAAGTGATCAAATCTTAAAACTAAATTTATTTTTTTTTCCTAAGCCATTGATTTGGAAAAAATTATTAAGACATTAATTTATTTAATAAAATAAGATTGAAAATTAATATTAAAATTAAAATTGAGATTAAAATTAATTCAAGAAATCACATTCAGTTCAATTAAAGAAAATTTATAATATTTTAAATGAAATAAAAATTTTGAAGGTTAACAGATGTTAATGGTGTCCTTCTTTTTTAGACGTCTGTGGCCTTTGTTCAGTAGCAGCATGTAAGCTAATTGGTTAGGATGGTCTTCTAACTTTAAGAGATGCTGACGGCTACATCGAGCAGCTTCTTCTATTATTGTTGGCACGCTCAAATCTCTATGAAGGTTAGCATTTTTCAGAAACCACGGTGCACCTGTTATCATTCTTAGGGTTTTAGATTGCAGCCTTTGCAGTTTTTCAATATTTGATGGCATCGCTGTTCCCCACAGTTGAATTCCGTAACTCCATATTGGTTTTATTATCGACTTGTATAGCAAAATTTTGTATTCAAGTGGTAGCTTAGATGACGTGCCCATAAGCCAATGCAATGAACTTAATTTTATATTTATTTGTGTCTTTTTAGCCTCTATGTGTTTGTTCCAAGTTAAACGTCTGTCTAGATGTATCCCTAAATATTTTACATTGTCGCTTGAAGGTACTTTTTGCTCATTTATTGTAATATTGGGACAGTTTCCTGGTCTTAGAGCAAATGTTACATGGGTACATTTTTGTTCATTGACTTTGATACGCCATACTGATAACCATTTCTCAAGTTGGTGAACATGTTCTTGAAGCATGCGTTGTGCGATTGCGGGGTTTTTGTGTGCACTTAGTATTGCTGTATCGTCAGCAAATGTTGCAGTTAAAGTGTTTTCCGAAGTTGGCATATCACTTGTATACAGCAGATATAATAGCGGACCTATTACACTTCCTTGTGGAACTCCAGCTTTGATAGGACAGGGTTCTGAAACAAAATCTTTATATTTTAAAATAAAAGTTCTTCTGCTTAAGTAGTTTTTTAACAAAAGGTGAGTGTTAACTGGCATGAGAGTTGTAATTTTATGTATTAAGCCTTCGTGCCATACTTTATCAAACGCTTGGGCTACATCTATAAATATGGAAGTGCAGTATTGTTTATTTTCAAATGAGTTTCTTACGAATGATACAATACGATGCACTTGTTCAGCTGTACTGTGTTTAGCTCTGAAGCCGAATTGATGCTCCGGAATTATTTCGTTAGCTGAGAGTATTGGCATTATTTTTGTTATTAGTAGCTTTTCAAATATTTTTGATAATACTGGAAGGACGCTAATTGGTCTGTAGGATTCTACTTTGGTTTTGTCCTTTCCAGGTTTAGGTATCATTGTTATTTGTGACATTTTCCAAAGTTTGGGATAATATCCTGTCCGTAAGATAGCGTTAAATAAATGCCTGAGATGTATAATGGCACATTGTGGTAATTGTTTCACCATTGTAACTGAGATTTTATCAGGTCCTGCTGCCTTTTTCGCATTGAGATCTTTTATAATTTTATTGATATTTTCTAGTTTAAAAATAAGGGGCCTGCTCGAAGGATATAGGTTTGTAATTGGTAAAGAAGTATTTTGTGAAGCATTATTTGGAGTAAATACATTTTTCAAGTGTTTTACAAATATTTCCCCTTTCTCTGAGTCACTTCGTGCCCAGTCACCATTTTCTAGTCTGAGAGGAGATTCATGCTGGATAGGCTGTTTGAGGTACTTTGTTGCCTTCCAAAGTGAATAATCCGTTTGTTCATTAGGTGCCAAATTGAATAGAAAATTGTCTAGGGATTTTTGATGTCTTTCCGCTAGTGCATATTTGAGTTCATTTGTACATTTAGCTAGTAAAACTTTATGTTTTGGGGATCTGTGCCGTTGCCATAGTCTTCTAGCGTTTCTCTTTCGTTGTAATAATCCCTCTATTGTTTTTGTCACACCGATTTTTTTGGGTTCTTTTTTTTCAATTCTTATAGAAGCTACTTCAACACCCATTGAGATTACTTCAGAAAATTGGTTAACACAAGCATCAATTTCATTATTCACCTTTAACGAAGCATGTTGAGGTATATGACAAGAAACATATTTACGAAATTTTAACCAGTTTATATGTTTTGTTAGACATTGCGTTTGGATAGTTCTATTCTGTTGACTTTGCATTGTTATTATTGTTGGTGAGTGGTCTGATGACAGTTCAACTAATGGAAATGCGGTGATTGTTGATGGTTTAATATTTTTGCTTAGACCAAAGTCGATAAGATCTGGGACTTTTTGTCGATCAGAAGGCCAGTATGTTGGGTGTCCAGTTGAAATCACATTGAGATCTTCACTTTTCACAACTGCTATAAGTTTCCGTCCTCTTGGCGTTATTAGCCTTGAACCCCAGAATGTGTGCTTCGCATTAAAATCGCCTGCGACCAGAAATTTAGAACCGAGTGTTTTAAAAAAGTTTTGGAAGTCTTGGACTTCTATATTGTGATTGGGTGGACAATATATTGCAGCTATTACGATATTTTCTCCATATTCATCAAATCGGATAGCTGTCGATTGTAGATAATCTTTGCTGAAGTCTTCTAAAACAAAATGTTTAAGTCTTTTTTTTATTATAATACCAGTACCTCCTCGAGCCATACCTTTGGGATGCTTGGTGTCATAAAAGCAGTAATTTGGAATTTTGAAAGCGTTTTTTTGAGTAAGATGTGTTTCGGACACAAGCATAATATCAATTGCATTACTAATTAAAAAATATTCAATTTCAAGTTTGTGGTTGTTTATACCGTTTGCATTCCAGCGACATATTCTAATGGAGTTGCTCATTTTTTCATTATTAGAGTTTGCATTAGAGCAGTTTGATTTTTTATAAGTTCTTGCATCATACTTTGCATACTATACATAAAAAGATTAAGACTTTGGATCAGTGTTTTTAGCGTCTCTTCTAAATTATCTACTGCTGGTATTGCCAATTGTTGAGGTTGAATATTTTCTCTTAATACATTTGCATAACTTTTGCCTTGAGAGATTGTTGCTTCTGTATTGTTTATTTGTTCTTGGTAGTAATTTTTGGGTGGCACAGCGTTTAATTGATTTTTGGGAAGAGTTCTCTGCTTAACTGCAACAAATACGGTACAACCCCTATAATTTGCAGTATGATTTTTGCCGCAATTGCTGCATTTTTTTGCATTTGCATCTTCTTTAGGTTTTGGACATATGGAGGATTTGTGTAGATCTCCACATATTACACATACACTAGGTAAGGTGCAATAGGTTCGAGTATGGCCAAATTCTTGACAGTTAGTACACTGTATTGGATCTTTTCTTTTGAAAGGCTCTTCTACTGTTATCCTTCGATGTAAAAGATAACGAAGATTGTAAATTGGGTGCACTTCTCCTTTAGCGAGTTTTTTTGCGTTTGGCTCAAGTTCTACTTTAAATATTGGCTGAGGTGTTTTATTTTTGTTTTTAATATTAAAGATGGACTTTGCTTCAAATCCGGCTTCTGCTAAGGCTGCTTTTATATCAGCTTCCGGTACGAAGTGTTCTATACCTTTTATTACCACACTTAAACCTTTGCTACTTTTTAGCTGGTAGGTGTAGTAGCTTTTATTATTGGCATCAAAGAAGTTTATAATTTTTCTATAATTTAATTCATCATTTATTTGGATTTTTGTTTCATTAACATTTCCCTTCAGGAGTGGAATCACGTAGAAATGTTTATCACCTATTATGGATGTTATCTTCTTTAAAAGATCGTTCGAATTTTTTTCCCTTAGATAAATTGGAGGTGGTTTGTATTTTTTGGTATTATTTTCGGTATTCTCGTTATTTTCATCAGTTGATAAGATTTGAAATCTATTTTTATTTAAGGAGGCGCCGTTTTCAACTAATTTTGTTAGTTTTGAAATTTGACTAGATGGTTTTGTCATGGGGCTGCGTTTCCGCTTTGTTACAAGAATATATCTATCTATTCCTGTCTGAATTTTATTGCCGTTGTCTTGTTTGGCAGCATTTTGAATATTATTTTTATCTTCAATGCTGATAGACTCATGTTCGTTATGTTTTGTTGTGCAATTTAGCAACTTTTGCATACAAACATTTTTCTGCAACGTTTTTTCTGATACATGTTTATCATCGCTGTTTTGATGTGCAACAATTGTTGATGGAGAATTTGGCAGTGAAGATCCACATTCAGCACTCCAAGAAAAAGTTTTTGACTGCGCATGCGCTGTGAGAAGATCACTTTTGCGTGCAGAAGAAGACGGCAATAAATTAGTAAATTTATTTGTTTGCATACTTACTCCCTCAATAACTTGTTTAGTTTCGCGCTCAGGGGGAGAACGCTGAACACTCATTTTAGACCTTTTCTATTTGGCGCAATCTGTTGTTGTTTAATTTTGTATTGATATTAAAGTATGAAATAATTTATAACACACTTTCAAGCTCAAACAAAGCAGTGGAATTTTAAGCGTCTGTCTAAGAGGATGCTATTTTGCAAAATTTTAGATTTAAAGACCCGCACTTTCTGTATTTGAACTATTTTAAAGCAGAGCAAACAAGAACGCGTCCGAACACTTTAAACTCACTCACTCAAAAAAGCGTCTGTGAGTGACATCACAAAGTAGCGCTGGAATGGTGCTGTTTAAGTGTTGTCTCAGCCTGTCATAATGTTTTTTAGTAGCCTTCTGAATTTCTTGTTTGACAGTAGGTATTTCAAGGTCACGATGTAGATCAGAATTTCGCACGTACCACGGAGCGTTAACTGCATCCCTGATTGCTTTGTTTTGAAATCTTTGCATCATATCGATTATATGTTTTTTCGCACAGCCCCTTGTTTTGAAGTCTTGTTTATAGATCATAAGCTTGTTTTGCTGAGATAATTTAGATCTCCTTCCAATAAGCCAAGTTAACTTTTTGTATCTTATTTTTAGCTCATTTAATTTTTTCTTGACGTGTACCTTCCATCTCAGTTTGGCATCTAGACTCATACCCAGATATTTCGCAGAATTTGCAACTGGAATTTTTACGCTATTTAGAAATAATGAAATTTGATTTTCTCTTTTGTTAGTAAAGTCTACATGATTAGATTTTGAACTGTTTACTATCAGCTTCCATTTATTTGTCTA